CGCATGAAAACACTTTTGCTTAGGATTATGCATTGATTTTGTTAAGGTGAATCGTTGAATCATTGAAACCAGGAGTATTTCGTTCAACTAGAGTTATAAATAAAATTGTAGATAAAATCGTCAGTAAAAGCCAAAATTGAATGGTGAAGTACAGTTGAATACTGTGTAGAACAAATAACTGTACTATAGTTAATATTTTTCTTACTTATTATTACACTGTGAGGGTAATTTTTCGATCTTTTAAGAATTTGGATAAATAATTAACATTATTTCTTAACTGAAATAAAGTACTGTAACTCTAACATAAACATACAGTTCGCAAATATCAAATGATTCTCAAACTTAATTTACCACGAAGAAGGTGAATGCCGAGGTGGATTATATATATATATATATATATATATATATATATATATATATATATATATATATATATATATGTTCTTGCTTTACTGATGCGCGCCTTTATATCTGCATCAGATCCCGGTGATTGAGTTGCATTCGATAGAATCTGCATATACGATTGACTTCAGTGGTACAAAAATCTTTCAAAAAGGTTTTGGTTTGTACAAAGAGTGACTGACAGTTGAAGCTCTCCGTATATGGGTCGACCTATGCAGAAGCAATGAAGCACACCAATCAGCTGTACCATATTGTCTAGAAACTTGGAAATACTGGACGATTGTCTTGTCCTAGTGACCAGTAGAGTTCAACCCTGTCGGGTGTAGGCAGTTACCTACCAAAGAAAATGGGTGAGGTTGTTCAATATATTGGACTGATTAAAGTTAGAGATTAACACTGCTGAGTGCCGGCTGATTGGTCTACAGGTTAAGCGTCTACGCGTGATATCGTAGGTCTTGGGTTCGATTCTAGGCTGTGTGGTTCATGAATGCTCACTGCTGATGAATGCCGTACTAGGACAAAACAGCCGTTCAGTTATTTCAGGTTTTTAATAGTGGTCTAACAACCATTGATCCATGGTTTCAATGAAACTCAATAATCTTACCAGCTCTATGATAAAAAATCATGAAGTTATTGTACTTAAATTGAACTTATTCTAGAAATATTGATGAATATTTTTCTTTATTGTTGCTATTGTTATATTCTCTTTGTCAGTTTTAATAAATTGATTTATCCATGAACTGGTCAGCTGATAAATAAATTTGATTTGCCAGGAATTAACTTCTAAGGAATGTAATAGTTTAATTTTTTAAAGGGTATATATATACGAATATATGGGTATGAATACGTGCCGGTTCGGTTAAGAAATAAACTTTCTCATTCTCCATTTTTTCTCAAGAATAATCAGCCGGGATCATGTAATAGTCAACTTGAGCATCAGCATCAAACTTAAACACCTCACACCGTAACATGTTTGACTTTTATTTGTCAAATAAATACTCTGACAAATTAATAATCTGATCAGATTGTTCGAAAACAATATTCTATTACTGTTATATTGTATAGTTCTGATAAACTGTCATTCACTTATTGGACTATTAGAATCCCTTTTTCTTAATGGTTCAATTGAACACATTGATACAAAGCTTATTCCACATATAATACACTAAAATTGAATGTTTAACATTTGACTGACTAATTGATTTTTGATTTCTCTTCAAATAAATGATTAGCGATGTTGTTTTGATTGGTTGTTTTAACCTTCATCATAGATCAATATTGTTTCTGTTTATTGATTTTTTACAGAATTACAGGTGGTGAATTATTTGAACGAATTATTGATGAATCATTTAATTTAAATGAATCCAGATGTATTAAATTTATGCATGAAATTCTTCAAGGTGTTGAATATATGCATTCACAAAATGTTATACATCTTGATTTAAAGGTAAGCCCAATTTCCTTAATATATGTCCTAACCCACTGAGTACTTTTTCCTAATTTCTTCCTTAGCTGGAATTTACTTTGTTCTCTCCCTTAGTAGGTTGTTGGTGATGTTGTCTGGCTAACGGATCAGTAGTATCTTGTGTAGACATGTATCTTATGAATGATGGCTTTTGTGGTCATCCGAGTTTTCTCTATATACAATAGAATTGTCTTGACATTTGTATTGAAAATTCTGACTTTGATGTTACTTGATAGTTGTTTTGAGTTCTATATGTTCATTGATTGTAGAAATATTGCCCTTGCTTTACAAATCCGTGTCTTTAAAACTGCGACAGTTCCACCTTGTTTACATAAATCTCCAAAGCTTCTCTATCAAGTTTGATCATATTGGTGCATGTTGTGTTTATCAGAGGATACTGCTTCTTCCCTACTGTACGTTGAGACCTGCTGCTTCAAAGGCTGCTGTCGAGGCTGCCGCTACAATGGCTGTATTCATCTGTACTTGTTGCTGTATGTAGGATGGAACAGCTAGATCATCTGCGTAGTGTAGGTCCTCCAGCTGCGTCCGAGCCGAATGACATGAATCCAAATCGTCTGCAATGGTGCAGGTACATACACTCTTTGTGTTCTCCCCAAATCCTATTCTGAATTCCTCATGACCATCATTTCCTCCTCAAATTTATTTCACTGAATTATACTCCTTGAATAACAACATCTTCGAATCCAAATCTTATGCATTACTGCTAATATTTCTACCACTACTACTATGGGATTTGAATTAACAATCGCGTCTCTGTGCTAATGTGGTATGGCAACTTGAACTGATGTACAGATGTACGAAGTTTTAAGTTGTAGCTGACTGACGTGTAGTAAACTATTATTTTTTAAATATACACACCTATAACTATTAATTTTAAAATATTTTGTTAATTATAAACTTTAATTGCTGGAAAATACATTAAACTGTGTGTATACAATTCAATTGTCAACATTTTATTCAATAACTTAAGTTAGTTAAGAGTTGAAGCTAGATTATTACATATTCTCGAATATAACGTCAATAGATGTTAACCAAAAAATGTATACATCATATATCTAACGTCATGTATATTCGGTTAATTGGAATTCAGGTGTATTACCGCATGGGTGGTACATCATTGGTCATCTGATATTAACAATACAAAATGTTGAATTCTTAATTATTATCTGAATCACTTACTTACTTACTAACATTCGCCTCTCACACCTAATGGAGCATAGGCCACCGACCAGGGAATTATTTATCTGGTTTGAGTTTTTTCCTTAGCCAGTTGGATTTCTACGAAATAAGAGCCACTAACCCAATGCCAAACCGTCCTCCTTTATTCGGCCTTGGGATAGGCAGTAATCCTAGAATGGCTCTAGGAAGAGTTTAGCATCTGAATAGTCATCATCACTTGAAGTGTACAATTTCTTACGCATTGACATCATTGAGAATTCTCAAACTAATATGTGAACCGACCAAACCTAATATGATGTTATCCCAGTAACTATGATTAATAATAAATATTACTTACAAATATTACTATACACATAACAAAATAATTCTTTGTTTTGACGATGATTATATTGTAAATTATTCTTAGTTTATTTTTTTCAAAAATAAAATACTATTAATTATCACAAGTCATGTGATGATTATTTATCATAAATCTTTCTAAAATTGTTCATTAAGAAGAAAGTTATATATATATTCAAACATGTTATTCAGCAAAATTCTAATTTTAATACACAAGTTCTACTAAATAGTGACTTATGAATATAGTATATTAATTAGTTAATTAATTAATTGGTTAGTTAATTAAATTTACAGAACTAATTAATTAATTGATTTTCCATTTTTGGTCATGTGACTTCGGTTTCAATCTGTTACCGCATTAATGAAGGATAATGAATTATCAAGAAACGTCTAAGTAGAAACTTGATTATTGGACATTGTTGATTAGTACTACTGTAGTGAAGGAGAACACAGGTGAGGGCAACCGAATTGTATTTAACGAAAATTACAGAGTTACTCAGTAAAATCAGAAAACCATATCGTAAATTGTTCATTTGCAAAATATCAGTTCATCATATCGAACTGGACTGTTCCTGTTGCAAAACATCAATCCATTGTCACTATTCATGCATTTCATACAAATTCCATTGTGTTCTAACTCTTCCTTTCTTGATCTTCCCCCATCTTCTGCAGCCAGACATTACGTTTACACCCACGTCATATACTACTTATAAGTAGCTCGCACCACACTCATCCCCTCTTTTAATAAGCTGTCGTCGTAGTCTTTCAAAACAGGGACCCTGGTCAATTAATATCACCTTCCGTATTCCGTGACACGCTACAATATGCCGGATTACTACTTCGGTCATTGTTCCTGCGCGCTGTTCTGGAATGGATACGGCATCTATCCAACGTGTAGCGTTTACTAGTTCCCGCTGCTGGGACACGGCGGCAGGCACGCTCTGGATAAATTGCGACGCCAACAACTGTGCCCCCGACTCCCCACCCATGCTCGGCAGCGTACGGCGCAGCAACATCGTGAGCTCCACAGCCAGCACCAACGGGTCACCGTCAGCCGACAGCCTCGCCAACCGGAACCTCTACGGCGCCTCTTCCCTGTCCACCGGGCTGTCAAACTCCGTCATCAGTCGCCCGGTGACCGTCTCCCACGCCGTCTTCCCGGCGGCACCGTCCAGGCTGTCGTATACCGCCTTCGCCCCACCTGCCCGCAGCGCCTAACCTAAAAGATAAGAAATCAGTTGCTCTATATCAGCTCGTGATAAAATCGTTACATATCGCGAAGTAGAGTCATTCAAACACTTTTGTAATATAAACGGAATAACACACACTCGCCACCCTATCACCCCCGGTCGAACAGACAGACAAGACGCATTTTCGAAGCCTTTCATCGAACATTGGCTAAAGAAAGAGATGACGAGATGAAGGTTTTAAAAAGTGCCTGGATCATTTGAGATGTGGGTCAGACAAACAAATCAAATCCATGAAAGATAAGAGAAAACAGACAGGTGAGTCTTTCACTTGACATATTAGTAGAGGAACTCTAAAGAGCGAGTAAACTGAAGATTTAGAGAAGAACTAATCAAAACATCTCAAAGATAACGAGAAATTAGTTACAAACTTAATACATTTCATAATGTATACTTGTTATCAAACATTAACTAAATGCTTCACAAATACGGAACATAGTTTGTAGCTTCAAAGAATAAATTTGTTGAGATCGTTCTCAGACCCAAGTGATTAAATTGTGAAGGTTCTGAACACAACATCAGAATCAACTTCAGATAGAACAATTTGTAATTCACTCATGAACGAACTCTCATATCTCATTTCCTGTCAGTAGTTTATACGGATAATGTAACCTAGAAAAAAAAACATAGAATGCTTTACAATTAAACAACCATTCGTATAATTTCGATTTGTCAAACATGTATTGTTGTAGTGAAGGAGAACACAGGTGAGGGCAACCGAATTGTATTTACCGCAAATTATGGGAAAACCATATCGTAACCGTTAATTTGCAAATCTTCAATCAATCATCAATCCATTGTCTGACATTTCACTTATTCATGCGTTTCATACAAATTCCATTGTGTTCCCACTCTTCCTTTCTTGATCTTCCCCTATCTTCTGCTGCCAGACATTACGTTTACACTCACGTCATATACTACTTATAAGTAGCTCGCACCACATTGTAAATATTACTTTTTGTCAGCAGAGAACAGAAACAATACTCACCTTCAATGACTCATTCATTCATTCTTTTTTTTTCTTCTGCATTATAGCCTGAAAATATTTTGTGTTTATCAGCGACCAGTTTTAAAACAAAAATTATTGATTTTGGATTAGCTCGATTTTATCAAGATCAAAATTTATGTGTCCTATTTGGTACACCGGAATTTGTTTCACCTGAAGTGCTGTCATATGAGCCAGTTTCACCGGCAGCTGATATGTGGTCACTTGGTGTAATATGTTATGTTATGTAAGTTTGAATATTTTCTGGTACAGTTAGTTAGGAAATGAAATAAGATATGTATGTTTATGTATTTGTTATTATTGATGATGTTGTGTGATGGTGTACAGTTTTGTATGGTTGTTTTGCCCTAGTAAAGAACTCCTCAGAAGTGTACATCCATGACGCCAGATCTGGAAATAGAACCGCGAAAATTCTGCAGCCTCAATAAATAGTTACTTACTTACTTACGCCTGTTACCCCCAATGGAGCATAGGCCGCCTACCAGTTTTCTCCAACCGACTCTGTCCTGGGCTTCTCTTTCCAGTTCTGTCCAATTTTTGTTAATTACTCTCAAACCTTTCTCTATTTCTCGTCGTAATGTGTTCCTTGGCCGAGTTCCATAAATCCCTCTATACAAATAAAAATTATGCGCTTACTAGGGGCCAGCATCAAGATGTGACTTTGGGTGTTTCAGTAAGAAGCTGTAACCGATGAAGTCGAATCATGTCGAGGGTGAGACAGTTATCCTACGAAAAAATTATTCAGTTTATTTACCTACTTCGTGTTCCGAAATGAAATGTGTAGATCACCAACGTAGGTGATCCGTGTCGATGGTTGCGGACCGATTCGAGACGGCTGGAATATTCTGGCCTCTTGACATACGTCTAAATCACAGCTCGTGGTTAATGCTTAACCTGGATTATAACACTGTCGTAACCAGGTAACTTGCTAGAATAAGCACTCTTCATAGGTAACAACATACATGAATATCACCAGTTAACAGAAGTACAAGGCGGAAACACATGCTGCATGCTCCTGTCCATGATGAGCGTTGATTTTCCATGACCTTGAAGAGGTTTGACAAAGTGCTTGATATTTAATGACTGACCAATTGGATAATTTGGCCTAAAACCCAGTAACATTTCACTATTCCTACAAATGTATTATAGGTACGAGTTATCAGAGTGTAATTCAGTCGATTATAAATATGGTCTCTTTGTTACTTAATGCAGACTATCGGATTGGAGACCACACAATAACTAAGCTCAGAGGTTGGAGACGTTGGATGACATGACTTGGAAGCAGTGTCCATGAAAAACATTTATCCATTCTTTACTGTTCCTTAAATCTTGAGATTTGAAAATGACTTATACTTTTCTGTTCTATATACTCATTGTTTCTTCTGTATTCATATTCAATATGTCTAATTGTCTCAACACTCATCTAGGCAGTTATCATCTCTTTGTATTTTGATGAGGTGTAATAATTTAAAAAATATCCTAATAAATACTCACAATAAAACCTTTATTCCTGAAATTACAGTTTAAATAAGAAAAGCAAGTGAAATAGTCATAGGACGTATAATAAAATTCTTTGAACCAACATTCACTACAGTAAATTGACATCTGTTAGGATATTCATCCAATATCCTAAGAGAATTATTGGTCAATTTTACGGTCGTCTCAGATATCAATGTCACGTGCTCCAATGTCGTTTCTTATTGGTTGTCCTGACTATCAGTGTCACTCCAAATGTTGCTTCCTATTGGTCGTCTTAACTGTCAATGTCACAGAATTCGATGCTGTTTCCTATTCAACCAAAATGCATATATACGCATTATCTGTAACGTTTTATGACCACGACCAGGACCAGGACCCTATCCCGGATCCCTAGACCGGGATCCTGTTTCTCCTCTGGACTCGGACCTCGTACTTTCTGGATGCTTGTAGAATACATGTTCTATTTCATATCGCGTCTTCTTATTTTAACTAAGTATGGAGGTTGGGATAATCGGATTAGAGTAGCATGTCGTGTCGCCGGATCCCGATCCTTGCTCTCGTTTTCCGACTAGGTAAACTCGTGATAGTTCCAGTAAATCAAGATGACGTGTTGACGTGCAGGCGTAACAACATCCTTCTCTTTTTAGTCAACCATTAATAAGTTTAAGAAACAAAGATAAACGTCATAGTTACACCGCTTGTAGTTCGACAGCTCCTGTTGAGTAAGATTTAGATTGTACTTGTAAATAAGCACTACACAGTTTATGGTTGACTAAAATTTGAGACAAAATAACAAGACGATCTGCTCTTGCTCATTTTGTTCTATATATTCGTGACCGAAAAGACATCAAGTTAGCTTTCAAAGTTCCACCTATCTTGTCATTCTTCCAGATTTCCTGACATCGCGACACCTCAGTAGGTATAGATATACACAAAAATATGCTTAATCTTTGTGTACCGAAAACTATATTCCTCATCTTAATTTATCTTACCGAAAACATTTATACTTAAATGGTTAATTTCTTACTTACTGTTTCATTATTATTGGGTAATCATTTGTGCTAACTAACCGGATCGCTTAATGTTCTCTTAATTTTATCTTCATTGAGTTACTGGTCTGCTATAATCCCAGACCTTTAACTAGAGAATCATTACGTCACACAGTTTTGGCACAATCAACAAGTCTCTACATACACTGAAGGGCTTCATTACTAGATTTTTCACATGTGCAAGCTGCCAATCTGTATTAAAATTCTCTCGTTTTTCTCAAAGTGACAGCTGAGAACCAATCCCTGACATAAATGAGAAGACATGACCAGTGGGGTTCAACCCAATCGGGTGTAAGTGGTAACTACGGAAGACAAATGAGTGAGGTCACACAAAATCCCTAGATTGATCAGAGTTAGACACTGATACCATTGGATGCCTGCCATTTCAGTGGTCCAGAGGTTAGGCGTTCATGTGCAAGACCGAAGGTCCTCGGTTCGAATCCCTCGAGTAGCCGGAGTCATGGGTGCTCACTGCTGATGAGACCTATGGTAGGACAGAACGGCCGTCTTTCAGTGATTGTAGGTTTCTAATGCTGGTCTAACAATGATTGATTGATGTTTTAAATGTGTGAAAGCATCTCGTTTTAAAAATAACAACTTGATTCAGTAAATTCAACTTTGTGTTAAGATTAGTATGATTAAATACAGCGCAGAGAATCAATCGCTGACATAAATGTATTCATTCTTCATCCTTCTCTAGATCCTATATTTCTGTATTCCTTCGAGTTATACCTCTCCGTTCTACCTTATTTGAATTTTATTCTCAATGTTCGCTTTCTCAATATCATTAGTAAATTATTTCTAATCCCCATTATTTTTATCTTCTTTGTATGTGATAAATGAGATTTGAAAAGTTAAACCGACCCACATTTACATTAGGCTTTATTTATTGATTATTTTATCCTTATGCTTTCATATTTTGTTTTGTAATTTTTTCAGGCTTTCTGGATTATCACCATTTATGGGTGAAAGTCAAGGTGAAACACTGGCTAATATAATAAGAGTGAAATATAATTTTGATTATGCAGAATTTGCGGAAATTTCAAATGATGCAATGGATTTTATTCGTAAACTTTTAATCAAAGATCCAAAGTAATTAATTAATAGATTTATTTCCTACTATTGTATTCGTAATTATTACATTAAAATATAAATCTCTATAATTTTAATGAAAAAAATCTTACAATGTGCTAACGAGCTTCGTAAAGAAATTCTCAGATTTCTACTAGGAAGACATGACTAGTGGAGTTCAACCATATCGAGTGTAAGTAGTAACTACCAAAGACAAACTGATGAAGTGGGTTGATGAGGGTTGGACGTTAACACCGTTGAATGCCAACCCAAAAGTCCACAGGTTAGAGGTTCGCTCTCAAAGATTGAGTGTCCTAGGTTCGAATCCTGTGAGTAGCGGGAGTCATGGGTACTCACTGCTGATGAGTCCCATACCAGTACGAAAACGGTCGTCTCTCAGTGTTTCCAGGTTTCTAATGGTGATCTAACAATGACTGACTGATGATTTAAATGTGTTACAGCATCTCGTTTTAAAAATAACAACTTGATTCAATACAGTGAAATTTGCGATGGTAAGATATTTTGAGTTAAAACTCGTACGATAAAACACAACTACCTCTATTCAACGTTTATATATTGAAATAGTAATTATCCAAAAATACATTTTATAAACATATATTCAATAATCAATTATAAAATTTTCCTACTAGTTCAAATGTTATGACTGTTGTGTTTATTCATTATTTATGGAATGTATAAATTCCAATATATTCATGTCTTCTTTTTTGAAAACGTTAGTGAGGAAGAAAATACACTAAAGAAGTACAGTGTTCCTGCTTGAGTTTCGCAGTAGTTGACATTTTACAATCATTTGTAAGCTTTTTATATCATAGAGAATAAAATAAATATCATAATTACTCAGTTAAAACAAATGTGAAACTGAAAAGTTGATATAACATGATTTTAGAAAAAAAAGAAACAAAATTACGTTATTAGCTCATGATGAGTTTCATTGAATAATAATTTCCTCTTTTTAATTCATTGTGATGATTCCTTAGCGTAGTTTGGACTTTTGTGTTAATTGTGTGACCAATGGAGTTCAACCTTATCGGGTATAGGCAGTTACCTAACGAAGACTATGAGTGAGGTTGATCAAAGTTTGACACTAACACTTTTGGATGCCCGGCAAATGGTCTAGCGGTTAAGCGTCTGGTTATGAGACTGAACGTTATGGATTCGGCTCTCGTGAGCGGAGGTTGCAGAAGCTCACTGCTGATGAGTCCCATACTAGGACGAAACGGCCGTCCTGTGCTTCCAGCTTTCTAATGGTGTTCCAACAATAATTCATGCATGATTTCAATCATATTTCCTCTGTGTTTGATAACTGTTAATTAATTATCAAATTTAAGTAAAATAAATGTATAAATCAGGTGTATTTATGCACTGTTTCGGTTTATTTTCGTAGTTAGATAAATCTGTAGTTGAATTCCCAGTGGTTTCAGAGTTTCAGTGTTACTTACTTACTTTACTTTCGCCTGTTACCCCCAAAGGAGCATAGGCCGCCCACCAGTTTTCTCCAATCAACTCTGTCCTGGGCTTCCCTCTCCAGTTCTGTCCAATGTTTGTTCATTCCTCTCATATCTTTCTCTATTTCTCGGCGTAGTGTGTTCCATGGCCTTCCTCTTTTCCTTTTGCCTTGAGGGTTCCATGTGAGGGCTTGTCTAGTGGCGCAGTTAGGTGCTTTTCGTAGTGTATGTCCTATCCACTTCCACCGCTTCTTCCTGATTTCCTCCTCCATTGGAATCTGACTTGTTCTCTCCCACAGTTCGTTGTTGCTGATGGTGTCTGGCCAACGTATACGAAGTATTTTGCGTAGACAACTGTTAATAAACACTTGTATCTTCTGGATGATGGCTTTGGTAGTTCTCCATGTTTCCGCTCCATACAGTAGAACTGTCTTGACATTTGTATTGAAAATCCTGATTTTGGTTTTGGTTGAAAGTTGTTTGGAGTTCCAGATATTTTTCAACTGTAGAAATGCAGCACTCGCTTTGCCAATCCGCGCCCTCACATCTGCATCGGATCCACCTTGGTTGTCGATGATGCTGCCAAGATATGTGAAGGTGTTAACGTCCTCCAAGGTATCTCCATCAAGCGTGATTCGGTTGGTGCATGTTGTGTTGCATCGGAGAATTTTGCTTTTTCCTTTATGTATGTTGAGACCTACTGCTGCAGAGGCTGCTGCTACACTGGTCGTCTTCTCTTGCATTTGTTGTTGAGTGTGCGATAGAAGAGCCAGGTCATCTGCGAAGTCCAGATCGTCCAGCTGCGTCCTAACTGTCCAGTTGATACCGTGCTTCCCTCCAGATGTTGACGTCTTCATAATCCAGTCGATGACCAGGAGAAAGAGAAAGGGTGAGAGTAAGCAACCTTGCCTGACACCGGTCTTCACCTCGAAAGAGTCGGTTAGCTGTCCTCCGTGCACGATTTTGCAGTTGAATCCATCATAAGAATTCCGTATGATGTTGACTATTTTCTCAGGCACACCGTAGTGTCGAAGAAGCCTCCACAGTGTTTTCCTATCCACGCTATCGAATGCTTTCTCGTAGTCGATGAAGTTGATGTAGAGTGGTGAGTTCCATTCAATTGATTGTTCCACAATGATCCGTAATGTAGCAATTTGGTCAGTACACGATCGATCCTTACGAAATCCGGCCTGTTGATCTCGAAGTTGGGCGTCTACGGAGTCCTTCATTCTGTTTAACAATACCCTGTTGAAGACTTTGCCTGGTATTGAAAGAAGAGTGATGCCTCTGTAGTTTTCACACTTGCTGAGATCGCCTTTCTTTGGTATTTTGATGAGATATCCTTCTTTCCAATCTGATGGTACTTGTTCCTCATCCCAAATCTTCTTGAAGAGAATGTGAAATATTTTCACAGTTGCTTCCACATCTGCTTTCATTGCCTCTGCTGGAATGTTGTCTGGTCCTGCTGCTTTGCCGCTCTTGATTTGTCTGATGGCTATACTGATCTCCTCAATCGTAGGTGCGCCAATATTAATTGGGAGATCCGTGGATGCTGCTTCGATGTTGGGTGGGTTCAGTGGAGCTGGTCGATTCAATAGTTCCTTAAAGTGCTCCACCCACCTATTTCGCTGTTCGTCAGTGTTGCTGATTATTTTCCCTTCCTTGCTTTTCACTGGTCGTTCTGGTTTACGATAGTTTCCGGCGAGCTTCTTTGTAGTTTCGTACAATTGTCTCAAGTTTCCTTCTCTTGCAGCCTTTTCCGCCGTCATTGCTAGATAATCCACATATTTTCGTTTGTCAGCTCTGATGCTCTTCTTCACTTCCCTGTTTGCTTCTGTATACTCGGCTTGCGCCTTAACTTTCTCCGCTCTTGTTCGGCAGACATTGATAGCTGCCTTCTTGTTCCTCCTTTCTTGAATTTTTTTCAAGAGTACCAACAGAGATCCATTCCTTGTGATGGTGCTTCTTGCGACCAAGGACCTCCTGACATGTTGAAGTGATTGCCTCCTTAATCCCTTTCCAATTGTTCTCCAATGTTGCTTCCTCTCCATTGAGTAGATCCTGAAAGGCCTGGAACCTATTGGTGAGGGCTATCTTGAATTCGTTGAGTTTTACGGTATCCCGAAGAAAGGCCGTATTAAACTTCTGTGATGTTGTCTGCCCCGCTGTCCAGTGCTTCTTTAGCTTCAATCTCATTTTGGCGATCAGCAAGTGGTGATCTGAAGCTATATCAGCTCCTCTCTTGGTTCTCACATCCTCCATGGTCAATTTGGTTTTGAGTAGTGTGGTCCGGTGAAATCCATGTGGCTTTGTGAATGCGTTTGTGCGGGAATATTGTGCCACCGATGACCAGTTTGTTGAAGGCACATAGGTTTGCAAATCTCTCACCGTTTTCGTTCCTTTCTCCCAGTCCATGTCGTCCCATGATGTCTTCATATCCAGTGTTGTCCATTCCAACCTTGGCATTCAGGTCTCCCATAAGAATCGTCAAATCCTTTGGTGAACATTTATCGACGGTTGACTGCAGCCTTTCGTAGAATTGATCTTTAACGTCGTCATTGTAGTCATTGGTAGGTGCATAACATTGGATGACGTTCATTGTAATGTCCTGTTTCTTTGTTTTGAAGGATGCTTTAATGATCCTGGGTCCATGAGATTCCCATCCTATCAGTGCCTTTTGTGCATGTTTGGACAGCATCAGTGCAACTCCTTGTGTATGTGAAGCGTTTTCCTCTTCATGACCAGAGTATAACAGCAGTTCCCCTGAAGCAAGTCTCAGTTGTCCTACCTGTGTCCAATGTGTTTCACTGATGCCGAGCACCTCGAGGTTGTATCTTTTCATTTCTGCCGCAACTTGAAATAGTCTTCCAGTCTCCCACAATGTACGAACGTTCCATGTACCTAAAAAAATGGTTGCTCTGGTTGTCAGAAGAGGCATCGGCCCCGTGACTTCCGAGGGGACTCGGCTTTCATCACGAGACGTCATAATTCTTCTTCCAACTCCCAGGGCAGAGTTAAAATGGTTTGAATTATTTTTTCTGGTTAGCGTTTTTTTGGCAAGTTAGATTTCAACGGAATGGGGCCGCCAACCCCATGTCCAACCCTCCTCCTTTATCCGGGCTTGGGACCGGCAGTAGCCCCTAAGGTTCTACTGGCGGAGTT